TCGAATTTTAAGTAGTTTAATTTATTTAGTGCAACTTCAGAAATCAAATTTTAATTTATTTTATCTTTCAAATTCAACTTCCGAAAATTCAGATCTTAAGTAGTTCAATCTCTTCAATGCAACTTCAAATTTCGAATCTTAAGTTCTGAAACATAAACTTGTTCTTCAAATTTTAATAATCCAACACATGATTCAACGCCCAAATCTACTCCAAATGAGCTAAACTTTGAAATATCAAAGAAGAAATTTCAATCATCAAATTGTCAAAATAGTAACAAATCTAACAAATCTATTTTGCAACTAGGAAAACGAAGAAGAAACCCTAAGCATAAGCTACAAGGGTGTTCTCCAATTAAGAAGAAGAAGAATAAGAAACCAAAAGGCTCTTGAATACACAGGACTTGAATTCAAAGAAGAAAAAAGCAGCAATAAAGCTCCTAGATACATGTGACACGAATACAAAGAAGACGAAAGCAACTATGAAGAAGAAGAGAAACGTGTATGTATTTGAAGTTACCCAATCATTGGATATCAGTTAAACTTTTTTTTTTTTCGTGTTTCGGTCAGCTTTAAAGGCCAAACTAACCCAGTCGCTTTTTTGCAGCCCTGTGGAGTCAAGGCGAATCGAATGGTCAGGAAGGGAAGGAAGCAAGCAATTCGGACAGAATTAAGAGGGCTTGAAAGAATAAGATACGTAGAGCGTGAACCAAATGGTACAGGTTTAATCGGGTGACCAAATAAGGCACCCACAAAAATATGGTATTAAGTGAGAGGTCATTTTCGTCGAGTTTTGAACTATGCGACACTTGTCTCGAGAATTTTATAGTTAAAAAAGATCAGACACAAGAGAACTTGCTTTTTAATGTATGGATCAATCAAATGTAACAAAAAACAATAGCTAATTTAGAAAATCTGAGTAAAAATTAGAAAGTAAAATAGTGAGAAAGATAAAAAAAAAAAACTATACATAGAGGAAGAAAAATTAAACTGAAGAGAAAGTAAATTATTTAATTTAATGACAGAGAAAGTTATCGTATTAACTCACTCAATCCTACCTCTATCAACTTTTAATTTATTAAAAATTTAAATTTTTATATTAATAATCATATAAATATAAATTATATAATAATATAGTGTAGTATTTTTGGGACCTTATATATTTGGGGTCCTAAGGCAAGGGTCTTACCCTAGAGCCGCATTGCTTAGGTAATCCAAAGTTGACTAGTTCTTCAGTCCTTCTTACTCTACCCCGGTAAAGAAAAAATAAGCAAAGTTATATATCTTTGGCAAAATACATAAGTTACCCTCTGAACTATGGACCAAATCTTTGTAACACATTTTTTGCGGACGAAAATTACTTTACACTCAACCTTTCTAGATCGTGCCTAAGACACACCTCTTTGTCTACATGGCAGGTGCTTGTTTTACGAACAAAATAAGGCGTTTGAACTGTAAAAAGTGTATATCTGATGCTGTATTTGAAGGGTCCGGTACTTTTCCAATATCTTCCTTTTTTTCTATTTTTCTAAAGTGATTTGGTTCAAATTGGAGATAATACAGATGTTTACTATCCATTTTATCCACTTTCAATCAAGAAATCTGTTGAAATTGTAACAGATCGAGGAAAAATATCTAAAAAAATCGATCCAGGAAGAAATTTTTAACAGTATAGAAGAATTTGTAATGAAATCTTCAACTAAGATTGGAAGAACAATGTAGAAGAATCATCTCTTCTTCTTTCCTTTTCAATAGGGCAGCCATGGAGAAAACCCACTTGTTATATCTCGAAAATTTTAAGAAAAAAATGGAAAAATACCTTACCATCCCCCTAAACTTGATACAGATTATTAATTACAGGCTTAAATTATTCGTGGTCTAAATTACCCCCCTAAACTTGGCCTTTTGAGAGCCAGTACCCCCTAGACGCTGATGTGGCAAAAAGTATGGGTGCGCTCGCCTGCCACGTAAATTTTTCTGCATATGTAGCATTTTTTTGAAAAATAAAATATATATTTTTATCTTTTTAAGTATGTTACTTTTTTAGATAATTTTCTTCGAATACAATTTATAATAAAACTTGGATAGAACTAAATTATTTATGGTAAATTTTTTTATTTGGCTACAAATAATAAAGTTTTAGTTATTTTTTTTTTTGAATTTGACATGATAATAAAGATTTATACAGTTGAAATAAATAGTCAAGGCATCTTCTACTTCTTCTTCCAAGTGCAGGATAACCCCAAGGGGTTGTGGGTTTTTTTCTACCAATTGGGGCTCTCCCTTCACCACCCCCATGGGGATGGTCTACAGGGTTCATAACTACTCCTCTTACTACAGGACGCTTACCTAGCCAACGCTTAGATCCGGCTCTACCCAAACTTTTCTGGTTCACCCCTACATTCCCCACTTGTCCGACTGTTGCTGAGCAGTTTTTGGATATCAAACGGACCTCCCCAGAAGGTAATTTTAATGTGGCCGATTTCCCCTCTTTTGCAATCAGTTTCGCTACAGCACCCGCTGCTCTAGCTAATTGTCCACCCTTTCCAAGTGTGATTTCTATGTTATGTATGGCCGTGTATAAAAATACATAAAAATACATAATTTGAAAAAATTATAGCCAAAATAATTAATTTCAAACTATGTATTTTATAACCTTTTAGATGCCTTGACTATTTATTTCAATTGTATAAATCTTTATTATCATGTCAAATTCAAGAAAAGATTAACTAAAACTTTATTATTTTCAGCCAAATAAAAAAATTTAGCTTAGATAATGTAGTTCTATCCAAGTTTTATTATAGGCGAAATACATAAATGGCCCCTTCAAGTTGTCCAGAACGGTCATTTGAACACCTCAACATACCTACTTATCAAGTAGACACTTCAAGTGTCTGTTAAGTAAATCAAATAGACACCCCGGTACAGCATACCAGATGCGTGAGTTACACTTGCCAAATGAGCCAATCAATGAACGACACGTGTAATTTGTAATTAAAACTTAACACAAATTAACCAAAAAATTAAAATAAATTTAAAATGAAAAAACCCTTCCCCAGCGTCTCTTTTTCCTCCTCCCCCACCCTCCCCCTCCCCCCCCCCCACCTCCAACTTCATCTTCCTCAAACTCATCTTCCTCATTTATAAAAGTTGTGGAAATTCAAATGACCCATTTATCAAAATTTCCGGGATATTCAAAGGGATATTGCTATTTGAGCCACTAACTTTAGAGCTAGAAAAACAGTTGGATCTTGCCGACAGACATATTGAAGCGATGCTCCCATTTTTTTTTTTTTTTGAATAATCAAGATACACTCTGGATCACAAGTGTTTGAAAACTTCCAAGTTAGATTTTTTTTGCACCAACATAAAATACTACTCTTGATTGGAAGCTCACTTAAGCTTGACAATCCAACCCAGCTTATCCTCTGCGAGTCCCATTTGTAGACTAGTAAGTGCAGAGTATAATTGTTGCAACACAAGACCAATCTCGTTATTTCCATATGTTACCCTTTTTCCTTGATGAGTAATGCTACCCACAGGAGATACAACCACTGCTGTTCCCGTACAAAAAACTTCATCAGCATCAAGCAATTCATCCACGGACACCAGTCGTTCCTCAACCTGGAATCCTTGACTAAGAGCTACGTCGCTTATGCTCTTTCGTGTAATACCAGGCAGAATTGTCCCTTTAATTGCAGGAGTTACTATCAGATTACCCTTCACATATTTTGCTGATTTTCTTGCTCGATCAATCGTTCATTTGGCAATTATTTCTTCACTAACTTTAAATTTGTTGAATTTGATGTGATGATATATTTGGTAATTTTGTTCTTTTGTAATGGAGGCAAAGGTGATTTAGTTGATCTTCTATTGTGAATAAATAAAGGGTCTAATTGAAAATAGGCTCACTTGAGGTGTTCAGCTGGTCGTTGAGGACAACTTGAAGGGGCTGTTTATGTATTTCGCCTTTATTATAAATTGTATTCAAAAAAATTATCTAAAAAAGTAACATACTTAAAAAGGTAAAAATATATTTTATTTTTCAAAAAAACGCCATATATGCAGAAAAATCCATGTGGCAGGCAAGTGCACCCACACTTTTTGCCACATCAGCGTCTAGGGATACTGGTGCTCAAAAGGTCAAGTTGAGGGGGGTAATTTAGACCACGAATAGTTTAAGGTTGTAACTAATAGTCCGTATCAAGTTTAGGGGGTGGTAAGGTATTTTGCCAAAAAAAATACATCAGAAGATAGGAGCAGTTGATTAGGGCTTCTATTTCTTTTGTTTGAATTGTAAGGTGGAGGTCTGGGTTTTTTGGTGGTCAATGGAGATAACTAAAAGGCTGTGGAAGGTGATTAATGGTGGTGAGACGGTGAAAACTGGGTTATATTTTTTTATCGATCTAGATTTTTTTCTTGAATATATGTATGTTAATGGATGAAGGATGAAAGAGAAATGTTGATGAAGGCAGAGATATGAGCTGAAAAGCTCTAATGAAGGCACGATGAAGCCTAAAGGAGATGAGCTCCTTTTCATTTTTGCTTTTTAATAAAAAAAAAAACTTGGGTGGGATTTGTTTTTCTTTTTATTTTTATTTTTTTAAGTCAATGACACCTGTCGTTGTATGACTGGTGCATGATACTACATATATTTTGAAAAATTGATCCAAAAAAAAAAAGTGGTGTATCTTAGGGGTTGAGTGTGTAAGGTAATTTCTGTCCACAAAAAGTGTGTAATAGGGATTTGGTCCATAGCTCAGGGCTAACCTATGTATTTTCTTTTTCACAAGATGTTTAACATTAAGCTCAATTTTGTGTCTGTTGTTCCCTCTAGTACTCAAATTGTAGTAGGATGATCCACAATGCTGACATATGTAGGACTCCTAAAATAAAATTTTTAGAAGTCTCTTGGAACTTGATTTCAACCTGCCTGCACCATTACTATAACGCAACAAGGATCAAACTGGATTTCAACATTGTGCGCAATGCATCAGTGGGAGTTACTTTCCTTCTATAACATTTCATCTTTTTATTCCAAACTCTGTGTGTCATCTACAATTGAGTATGAACTCCGAAAGACTATATGCAAGTTGTGCCATATACAAAGCCACCCGAATTTCCTCAAGGTTAATACTATAAGTTGGGGAGAAGCCAAAGATTGAACAGGGAAGACGCCAATGACAGAAACCAAGACAAGAAAGCCATGGCAGCAGAGAGTTGATATCGGCTGCATAAATTCCCATCGCAGAACGGGCTACCAGAATGAATCAGGAGGTCAGCCGCACTAGCCGTTGAGCATGATGCAGCTAGTGACAGAAATGAAAGGACCTGTTGGATGCGAGAATGACAATACTTGGTTAGAAAAAGATTAATTGAAGGCAGAGTTTTTCATTGTATTGAACAAGGCACGTACCCAATCTCCTAATACAACTACTGAGATTATCCGGGGTTGACGAGATGGGCGTTTAATAAAAACTGAGAATGCATCCACCATCGCTAGTGTCAAGCTCCATGATATAACCAAACCCATCACCGTCACCAAAAAGCTGCAAGCAACAATAGTTGAATTAGGTAATTAACAGATAAATTGTGCCTCAGCAAGTAGAAGATTATTATCTGATACCCCTTGATATCTAGATATTACTCTATAAGAGCAGATTACTTCATGTAAAGAACATATTATGATGATTCTAAGAAAAATGTAGTATATATGTGAATTAACTACAATAGCTTATATCATCAGGCCGAAGAACAAATTCTTCAACTTCCTTATGCTCAGTGGCGGAGCAAGGAATTTCACTAAGGGGTGTCACAATATAAAGAAATAAACACATGAAGAAGTTAAGGGGTTCAACATATATTTAATATACATAAAAAATAAAGTTTTGACCCAACTACACAGTGCAATTTTCCGGCAAAGGAATGTCAATTGACACCCCTTAGCCTAAGGTGGCTCCGCCACTGCAGTTATGCTCTAGTGTCATTCTTTTCATTTCCGTTTTCAACCTCAAGTTCCAATGTTTTGCATACTTCAATCCTAGACTTGAAAAGTTCTTTTCTATCTTTTTTGATAAGTCAGAAGTAAATTTTGTATCATTTTAAAATAGATTGAATTTGGTCGAAATTAGAAGCAAACTATTTTTAACAGTAATTAAGTCAAATTCACATATCTATTTTAATCACATTCTGTTTTTAGAGAAAAACCACAAACAGCCAGTAGGCTTTAACCACAGATATATAGGCGGACACTGGATGCATTATCTTACTTTTCTTGTTTACAGAACTCTTAAAAGAGAGAAAAGGGGCAGAAACTGAGATCATAAAGCGCCATACCAACCCCATATTGGCAAATGACTCAATATATCAGCTGTAATATGTTTGGCTGTACCTATTACTAATGTAATAGCACCTTATGAACGAAAGAGTTATATTGATTTGGTATCATCATCAACCAATAATAATAATACTGAATCATGGGCTTAAAAATGATAAGCCTATAATATTTAAATTAAGAAGCACATGACTTCCCCCCAGAATTTCTAGTTTCATTATGATATTTCAATTGGTGACAAATACGGAAATGACGATCCCAAAAACACTTCCAACTGGCAGCTCTTAAGACGAACTCCAATAACAGTATAAGTAAAAGCTGTAATCAGCTCTAAATCTCTAGACGCTCTTCTGAAGAAAAGAGAGCTAGCAAATACAAACTATCAACAGAATCCAACGAAATATTCTACGATCATTTCCACAATGACATGATTGATACCCACTAAACAGCACGAATGAAACAAAACAACCGTATATACACTCCCCATAAGCTTTCTAAAGTAGGTGTTACTGTTTTCAGAACTTACAAGACTGTCAAATTAGAAACCAACCGTAATACTCACATATTTGATATAACTAGCTTTATTCACAGATCCTTTGTCTATCTATACCTAAGTTAACTTTAAAGGCCACATAAAGCACCGCTTAATAGCCATCGGTGCTCTCACCGTCCACCCAGGATTTGTTAATGCATTAATGTATAAAACTGAAGAAAGATACGCCAGACAAACAATAAAATAATACACAGATCACATAAGCCACAAAGGGAAAAAACAATATTCCAACGTCAATGCGTCTCACGTCTCATCCTAACCTGACAAATAAAGTTAATATACGTTATGACAGAAACATAAATGATGATGACGAGGAGGAGAAGGGGCTGGATTTTCTCATTCTTCATAAACTTGAACCGTATCAAGCTCGTCTATAAATACATAGCAGTTGTCGCCCCCAATTAAAACTAGTTATTCTTAGTCCATACATGTATCAACACGTGTTTTACAAGGTAAGGTGGATAATGTTTCTCGAAGAAAGAACAGCTGACATTCCCACAGCAAGTTCTTCTTCCTTGTCACGAACGACGTCAGATGACCTCTGGCAAATTATTATCTGAATGACCTATTCTTCTCGCTCATGTGCTCTCACTCTCACCTTGTTCCTCTTCTTTAAAAAAATAATTTTCCTGGTGTTCTCCTTCCAATCCTTCCTTCCAGCCCTCATTCGCCTACTCATTATCTGTTTAATAGTTTCTTCTATCTACTTAATTTAAAAGGCAACCAGCTGCCACTCGATTTGGGACCCTCGATCCATCATAATAGATCAACCAAAGCAGTCTGGTTTTGGGAATGGTTATTTATAGGGGATGTGTACGAAGCAGCTAAAGAAAATCGCGCCCCCAACCTTAATTCCAACTGGAAAGACTTTAACATAAAATTCAAATTCCGTTTCAGACGTATGCTCGGTTAAAGCTGCCACATGACTACAGGATCATCGGTCTAGTCTATCTCAATTCACCTTGTCATTTGAACTATGCCTCTCCAAAGTGGCAATTGAGCTGTTAAACTAGCTAGTTTTCTCCGCCCACAAAGAAAACAAAAATGATAAACAGCAGTTGCAGGGCAAAAATAGAAAGGATATTAATTCCATATTATAAGTGGGTAGCTCAATTCAATTTCAGATATCATTATAATCACCAAATTTTATACACATGCATATGGAACATAAAACACCTAAAAATACAAGTAGCCAAATATTCAAGAATCAAAGATATACATAATTAAACAGGAAATTAAAGCAAAACAAGGGTATTGTAGTTGTAGATAAAAAGAAAAGTAAAGAAAACCCAGAAAGAGAAATATTACCAGAAAGAAGTGTAGCTATAGAAAGCAACATCCAAACACATGAAAAGAAGTGAAGCAACAGAGAATAGAGACTGTCCTAATCTCAAAGCCAAACTAGCACTTGTCCCTAAAGCCCCTGGAACTTCGTCCATATCATCACCGACATGCCACAGACAACTGAACTTGTTACAATTTTTTTTTTGCTAAAATTATTATTATTATGATCACAGATGTTTGTCATATCATTTTAGCTTTCCCTGCAGGCCATGCCACGTTGAAGAAACAACCGAACAGAGGCAAAGTGGAAAAGGAATTTTCGGAAAACTAATGATAAGAGATGTAGTGATGTCTGTGTAATTGAAAAAAAAATAATGTTACTATTTATGAACTTTAATTGACAAGTTGGCAGTGGACTTGTGACTTTTTCGTCCGTCTTCTCTTTTGGCTAATACTATGCGATTCTCTTTTTCACAACAATTATTGATCTTTCCTATTATCATTTCCCAACCGCACTTTTTTCTTTTTTTATACAGGACATTCACTTATTGTCAGTCATAGGAAAAGCGAATTTGACATTAGTAACAGCCTCTCCTAAGTGATTGTTAAAATTATGTTTATTATGAGTTTTTTCCTCAAATAACATTCAAGATTCATATAGATTATCAAAATTAATTTGGGATTAAAACGTTATTAATTGCTAGCATAATGAAAATATTTTCTGATACAGACATGATATGTCCTTCTTTGTTTGTCTTTTATTACTGAATGACGTGCTCTTGTGTTTTCAGACTTTTCACTGACTTTGAGGTAAATTCAGAGTTCGAGTTATCAAATATTTAGCAAATATTCACTAAATGTTCGATGACTAAACCCCGAGCCCCAAACTTAAATGATGCTTTTTTGTACAAAAAGTATTTTTCTAATATTTTAAAAAAAAAGTTACATTGATAGGTAATTCGCAGTATAATACTGTGAATTGCTTTAACGAAAATTTAGCCGTTAAAGCAATTCGCAGTATTATATTGCGAATTATCAAAAAAAATAATTTTTTTTATGCAATTCGCAGTATTATACTGAGAATTGCTTGAGATGGGCCCAGCTCATTTTTGAAATAGCGTTTCGCAGTATTATACTGCGAATTGCATTAATTCGCAGTATGATACTACGAATTAGACTGATTTTACTGATTTTTGGCCCCACCAATAATAATTAACTGACATAACAATAATTCAAATACATAAAACGCAGTATAATACTGCGAATTACTTTGAAAAATTCTACATCCCAAGCTCGGACTTGCCTTATTTATAGGCGTTTCAATTTTATAAAAATTCATTCAATACTTAAACTTCAAACATACGTTCATTATTCTCTCTTCTCCTTATCAATCATTTTTTTACAATGTCTGAAGTGCCAAAAATAAGGGTTTCACTGTATTGGGGGGGGGAGGTTGTGGTGGAGAATAACTCTGTGAGGTATAGCTCACATCCACAGTGTCATGTTAAATTGCCGCTTAATATGGAGTACGATACATTGGTATCATTATTACGTAAAAAAATGAGTGAGCGGAGGCGTTCGGTTAGCCTTAAAGTAACCGGTAGATTTCCTTATTCAGTGACTCCGCAGGGGTTCGCTTATTATTCTGAGTTTAACATCGAGGATGATGAAACTCTTAGAGATTTTTTGCGGATTCCGGATGAATACAGGGAATTTATTGTAATAAAATTATTGGAAATGTACGTCAAGGTGGAGGACCTTCCCAGTAATGAGGGCGTGCATAGCAGGGATAACCCCCAGTCATCGGGTGATTATTCTGGAGCAGTTTTTGCCGGACAGATTGCTGATGAAAGAGCTTGCCTTGATTTAAACTTGTCACCACCGGTGAATGAGCAGCCACAAAATAATTTTTCCACTTTATATAATCAACAAGACGACAGGTAAACTTCAATTTTACTACGCTTTAGCGATATTTTTTTTTCATGTTTTAATTGAATTTGTATTAACACCCATATTTTTTATAGGGGGTACCGTCCGGATTTGAATTTTACAAGTTATGACCCCGCCCCTAGTTGGAATATGCGTTGGTCTGGAGTATTAGACCACGGTGGTCCATCTGGGAGTCATCACCAACATGAAAATATCCCTCATGAAATGTCAAGACAATACGATTTGTAAGTAAAGTGACATAGCTATATCTAAAGTATTTTTCCTGAGTATTGGGTAACTTATGTTTTTGTTCTTTTTGTGCAGTGAAAACGAGCTTCTTGAAGCTCCTGACCTCACACAGTTGCCCATAGACGACGTTTTTACTCGTGATTTGGGAGATGTGTAGAGTCAGGAGGATGATAGTGATTATGACAACAATGCGGATGAGTCTGGGGATGACACACCCTTCCATGATGAGGGTGATGATGATGAGGAGGAACTGAATGTTGAACCTGAGCTGACCAGGGAGCATGTTCCTCCACCTCCCGCTAGACCAAGAGTGTACGAGTCCCACGTGCCATTTCATGAGCGAAATATTCCCTACCTTGATAATTTGCCAAGCATGCCTAACGTCGATGCCCTCACAAGGGATGATGATGAATTACGGTCAGCGATGTGGGATGAGTCTAGACCAGCTGTTCTTACAAAGGGCATGTATTTCCCCGATAAAGCTCGCCTAATTAGGGCTGTAAAAATCTACAGTATGAGAGAGTGTCGTGAGATGACAGTAAGTGAGTCAACTACGGAGAAATACAAGGCTGTGTGCCGTAGGTGGTTTATGGGTTGTCACTGGATGCTGCGTGCCACAAAGAAGAAATCAGGTTTGTGGAAAGTGGGTAAATTTATTAGCGAGCACAGATGTGAAATGGACACATTCAATGAGAATCACTTCAACTTGGATGTGGACTTGATTTCCCTTGTCTTGATTTCATTTTTGGAAGTGTCCATTAGGTTCAAGATTAAAGAGTGTATTACAGCCGTCCACCAGGAGTATGGTTGTACTATAAACAAAAGAAAGGCATATCTCGGTCGCAAACGTGCCTTTGAACTTATTTATGGCGACAGGGATAAGTCTTTTTCAAATTTGCCCAGGTACATAGCCGTACTGCAACACTTTAACCCCGGGACTGTTGTTGAATGGAGGCGTGAGCGGAGTCCGGACAGACCGGAATATATTTTCAACTATGTGTTTTGGTCATTTAAACCAGCAATTGATGGTTTTGTGCATTGTCGTCCTGTAATTTCCATAGACGGTACTCATGTCTATGGAAAGTATGATATTAAGCTTTTGATTGCAGTTGCAGTAGATGCCAACGAACAAATATTTCCACTAGCTTTTGCCATTTGTGCCAAAGAAAGTTAAGAGACGTGGACACGCTGCCGGCCATACTCAACCACCTTAGGTTGGGCACGCTGTTGCATCTCCTGTCCCAACTGGTAGATGCGATGATGCCCAATAGCCTATGAAACATTTAAAATAGTAATTAAATAACGCTATATCACAATTATAAGATATTAATAAGCCACAAAAACATACCAGTGCCTCGTGCCTCCCGGCGTACGGTCTGTAGCGCACGCCAAGTACATGAACGGGGTTCCCGATCATCATTCGGGTCTGACGGCGGTACCACTCAGCATACAGATGAATAGAGGCCTCCTGGAAAACTGTAGGTGGTAGCGGAATGCGCCCAGCTCGGTCCTCCCAATAAGCTATCTGCTGCTGTAGCCATCCAATATACTGCCGGTCCATGCTGGCACGGTCGTCCCGCTGATAGTATGTAGCCTCCCATCCAGGCTCCTTCGGTATAGGCCGAGGAAGGCCAAACTGTCGAAGCACACGCTCCGTGGCATGATACTCAACGTGATCCCAGAAGATCATCGGGACGGAGGTGCTCCAAATCAGCCGGTCGACTGAGCAACAAGCGGGTAGCTGACCAAGCAACTCGATGCTGTATGGCGTCCAGATGAACTACCAAATAATAACATAAAAATGAGTACGCAAAACACAACTCAATTTAAAAAAACCAAGTGTAGGTACATATTTACCTGTCCGTCCACCAACATATCTAACACATCCCTGAAAAGGGGGAGATTATGATGAGCATCCGTCCCTCGGTAGTTCCCACGCCGGAGAATCCACCTGATAGCTAGAGGGAGAAACGGATAATCCTCACCGGGCGGAAGTGGTGGTAGAGGTGGCTGCAACGGCATGATCCGCTGTCAGGCCCAAAGCTAAGATAAAATGTTGATGTAAATTTATGAGTCATTTCACGATATAGAATTTGGAGTAAAGAACAAAGTATTCGGAAATTTATTGCACCTGTAAGAGGGGCAGAAAACCACATATATCAACCGCTGGACCTATGCTCGCCCGGCACATGCTCCTATACAGATACGCCAGAACAGTAGCACCCCAGCTGTACTGGGGTAGCTCATCCAGCTGCTCAAGACAATGCAGAAAGCGCATACTCACTTTACTCCCCGAAGTGTCCGGAACAAGACACACCCGAAAAGCAGGAGCAACGCCAACCGAGTGTACCTCTGAATCCAAAGATGCTCCGTCTCGTGGGTAATATCTGGGTGCAAATCCGCCATCTGATATCTAATGAATGACAAAGCAATGCGACTGCCACCCCGGTCACCCTGAGGTCTAGAACCAGTCAACTGCCCCATCATATCCGCCAACTGTGCACGTGTCATCCCTCTCCAGTGGTGGGGCAGTGCGAAGGCGCGTCCCTCTACGCGCAGTCCGTATAAAACCTGGACATCCTGCAGCGTGATGGTGGCCTCTCCAGTGGGCAAGTGAAATGTATGCGTCTCCGGTCGCCACCGCTCTACCAAGGCCGTGATGAGCGACCAATCAAGCTGCATCCGTCCAAGCTCAAAAATGGTATATAATCCCGTAGTCTGGAGGCTCTCTACTACGCGCTCATGGAAAGGATGCCCCGCAATAAACTCCCACAAATCATCAGGCCTCCTGGGGCGGAGAGCCTGCATCGATAGCTGTCCCTCCCAAACATAGGAGGACCTATGGTCGCCCTGCAGCACTAGTAGCTGATCCTCGGCAGGTCCAGGATGCGCAGGCGGAGGAAAGGCCATGTCGTCTACTATAATTTAAACAAAATTAATTATTTGTGTTAGTGTAATAAATTAAATAATTAAGTATGATTAATATTAGAGAGAATAGTTATGTATGGGTTCCAGGCTTGATTTTCGAGGCCCGGTAGTACCGAGTTATCCTTAATTATTCTGCGTCTACATTTCAACATTTTTAGAATTTTGTTACCTTAAAGAATTAAATTATAAATTTTTGAATTGGAGTAAATAATTATGTATGGGTTCCAGGCTTAATTTTTGAGGCCCGGTAGCACCGAGTTATCCTTAATTATTATGCT